CACTCATCAACCTATCGAGGACCCTTATCCCGATGAGAGTTGCCAATATAAGTGATAAAAGCAAAAATCTTTAGGAAAGGCAAATTGGTTGAACTGTGTCCCAATAGTCCGCCAAACTGTGCGTCTTCTGAGACCCTAATATCGGCTTTATTGTAGAACACACAGTTAAGCGATAAAGAGAGGAGTGCTGTTGAAAGTGTCATTCAAGAATTTAAAGATGTTTTCTCCAGTTCATCATCTGATGTGTGTCGAACCTATCTGACACAACATGGAATTAACACCACGTTTCATTCACCAATCAAGACACATCCAAGACGTCTACCGATTGCTAAACAATAAAAGGTAGGAAAAATTACAATGTACATGCTAAAAATTAGTCCTTGGCCTCTCCCATTGTCCTGGTCACAAAGAAAGGTGGTTCAAATATATTTTGTGTTGATAATCACTTGTTGAATGAGGTTACAAAGAAAGACAGCTACTCTATTCCCAGACTTAACTACATTCTGGACACTTTATCTTGAATCAAGTGGTTTTCGATACTTGATTTAAAGAGTGGATGCTGGCAGGTACACACCGAGAAAAGACGGATTTTACTACCGGAGGTCTTTGACAGTTCACGATGCCATTTAGATTATGTAATACGTTGGCAATATTCAAATGCCTCATGGACAGCGTCTTGAGAGTACTTTCCTATTAAGTCTGTCTGATAGACCTGGATGACATCATTATTGTCAGAAAAAATTCTAAAGAACATTTAGAAAATCTTAGAAACGTGCTGCAGAAACTGAAAGAAGACAATCTACATCACACTTGTCATCTCAGCCAAAGATGCATGCACAGATCCAGAAAAAGTGTCAACAGTTAAAGGCTGGATACATGCCGAAAATACCAATCAGCTGAGTTTCCTGGAGCTTCGCACCTATTATAAGAGATCTGTGAAGTACTTTTCTCCCATTACAAGACCCTTTCATACACTGACAGATAGCAAGCAAAAGTTATGAATGTCAGAATGCATTTAAGAAACTGAAGGAGGTTTTAACATCTGCGACAAACCCGACATATCCTCAGCTTGACAAACCATTTATTCTCGACATAGACGTGAGTAATGAGAGTGTCGGTGCTGTTTTGTCCCAAGAAATAAATAGACAAGAACCTGTGGTAGCATACTGGAGTAAATGTCTATCTAATCTGGACAGGAATTACAGTATTAACAGGAAACAGTTGCTCACAATAGTAAAAGTTGTAGAAAATTTCTATCATTATCTCTATAACAGAAAACTCCCGATCTTCTTGGATCATGCATTGTTGACATGGCTTTTTAATTTGAAGAATCCTGAAAACCAAATAGCCAGATGAATACAAAGACTCCAAGCATAGGACATAACTATCTGTCATAGGAATGTATTGTTGCATGGAAACGCCAACGCCTTCTCCAGAACGCTGCTGATATTGTTCCAGAGTCGAATCATGTTAATCAGGTAAATAAATCAAGTTAGGAATTCAACATCGTCTGAACCAGACCCATGAAGTGACGAAGTCAGAAAAGAACAGTCGGCAGATGGCTACATTAAAACCGTAACTGATGTAATGGAATCTTGAAACAAACATATGCCTGCCAAGATATTTCAATCTATAGTCCTGCAACAAAACAGTATTTAACTCCCTGGGACTCGGCTCTATATTCGATACAGCATCTAGCACGGGAAGTTTGAATCGGATAATGGAAAGGCATTCTGCACCTGATACTTCCAAGATACAGAATCCCAGACATCCATAAAGAATTATAGAGTAGTCAGAATGACGACTTCAAAATAATGAAGACTGCATAGAGTTTGAGAGCAGCTCTACCGGAGTAGTGCACGGGCTGAGATGCGAAAGTTAAGTCAATCGAAGGTGACAACAAACACGAAGGTGACAAGCTGTGCTTATGGAATCCAATTCGATGGAAAGGACTCTCTTAAATTACGGTCACATTGTGTTGGTTCTTACACAGTCCTAAATAAGCCAAACGATGTCGTAGTTCAGATCTATAAGTCATCAAATTCTAAACCTAAAATTATTCATTAGGACAAACTAGACCCTTACCATGGCCAAAGTACATAGCCCCCATAGTGTATATAATGTAAACAGCATACTAAGGTCATGGTCCTATTTATTTCTAAATTTATAAATGTATGCAATTTTTTATGGATTTAGTACTTCATTTGTCTATTGGAATTACTGTATTCTCTTGATTTGCCTTAGTTGCAGGTACGGCTTCTTGTCCAGAGCACGCAGTCTTTGGGAAGGGGGCAATGTTACAAATTTTGAATATAGATATTTTAGTGAAATTGTTGCATTTTTCTGCATAATGTAGCATGAAAAGCTTAAAGAAACAATGCTCTGCTAGAAAAATAAGAATACAGGGACAAGTCTATTTAACATTGAGTTAAAAGTTCTTTAGCGAGATATCGTCAAGCTGGCAACGGTTTGGGGGACTAATTTTTATTGGCAAAGTTGGCGGGAAACCGCAAAACCTAGTGATCATTTAGCAACATTTTGGTTCGGTCCATGTATAAGTGTAATGATTATTGTAACTGATGCTCTGTGTAACTGTTACCATATTCAGCCATCATATGTCGTCCAGTAATTTGGAGAAGTACTAGAAATATCTCATCTGCTGGGAGAAAACCGGACAAAACACAAGTTTCTTAGTTGTGAGCTTTAATTCAGAGTATTGAAGGCTTTTAGATGCACTCTGCATTGCTTTAAATGTTTAACGTTCTTAGTACTTTGTAGTATAACTTTTGATTGTACTCTACGACACTGCAAACACCTGTACAGGTATTGCTGTGGAAAGTTCCGAGACTTCTGAAGCACTTATTCTGATAAAATAAATTTTATCAACCTAACATCAGACCTGTTTGTATTCGATTAATTACAAACCCGTATACATGCAACAATATGTAGTTATTGCTCATGGAACAATTCTTTCTTTCAAGAAAAAGAATTCTGGATAATTTGTGCGCACTGAAACGACTTTGTTAAAACTTTTCAGAAGAAAAAGGTGAGATATTTACTGAAGAAATTATTCAGCAACTGAAAGGTTTGAGAGAAGCTTTAATCAATATTTTCTGAATGAACAGCAGATTAAATATCAAAATGAATAGTAGATTTTAAAATCATTTATTGTCAATGTGTAACCTTCATTCAGCAGAGGTATAGAAAACTGTATTTAAATGACATCTGATTAATGGTTGTAAAAAAATTTTTTTAATTAATGCTGTTAGTGAAATTCTGGTGCAGAAAGAGAAATATAGTAGCCTGTCAAAATGGCCCAGCTGGCACTTTTGGCATTTGCAGCTACATGAAACAAGGTTCTCAGCTGCATGGTCGACCAAAAATAAATACCACAGCAGATTTGATGCTTAACATGACAGGAGAATTCAACTTTCATTCATAAAGCCTAATATTAAATCTGCGATAATAATCAGTACTACTCATCTAATTAAAATTTAAAAGTCCTGTTTGATTATGTTATTTTAAAATATATTAAGTTTTTGGGTCGATTTCAAAATTACTTTTTGAAACAAATATTATTTGAAATATTTGACATTTTCTTTTAAAATAATCCATTTACAAAATGGTGCACTAAAACCATACTACTGAAGCAAACCAGAGGTTTCAACGAAAAAAGTGGACCTTAAAAAGGGTTCCATTTTCAAGATTAAGAAATGCTGATCTGAAGCACTCAGGTTGGCTTCTTTTAATACATATAAACAAAAAAATTTCCTGAGTTGTATACTCATTTATAGCTTAGTAAAAAAAATCTGCTAAGAAAATGTGCACCTACTAGGATCTGATTTGAAGCTTCACCTCTCTCTTTCCACATTTAATAGTTACATTTTAAACTTTAAACCAAGAACTAATAAATAATGCAAATGAAACAGAAGGCTCTGAAATTAAAAACAAAACCTAAATATATTCAAGCTCCTTCTACAATTTTAATATGACAATAAAACTTAATACTTTTCAAAATAAAATATACTTCATTTTGAAAATATCACATACAAAATGAGATACCTTTCCATCATGAAGATTTGCTCTAGCTACCAATACTACACTGTCTACTAATAGCAATAGCAGTGTGAAAAAAGTAGCATTCTATGATTAGAAAGTCCTTGCAAAGAAAACTAACATAAATGCTAAACATTTTAAAATGTTGCTTTTCACTCTCACTCTCTCAAAAACACTAAAGTTATTGATGCAATTCATAAGAAAAATAAAACAGGCAACATATTTTTAAGAATAATGAATGAATTTTAAATTTTACAATACGATAATAAATTTCATAAGGAATATTATTAACCACAGCTTATCAATCAGATTCCTTAAAAACACAAATAATAATAGCAGAGAGAAAGAATAAAATGTTTTCACTCTCAGTGTTTTATAAATAAAGGCAATTCACTTGGCATTTAACACGTTACTACATCTATATTTTGTCTGCAAATATCAAATTCTTTTTATTGCACTTTTGCATTTTATGTATTAGTTGTGTACTTTCCGCCACATTTTTTAAAAATATGTTTGTTTTTAATACGGATTTGTTGACTTCCTTAATCTGGGTCTAATAACGTTCAGAAAGTAAAAATAGCTGCAGTGCAATGCCAAATAGACTCTTCAATACACTTGAATTTTCTAGACGCTCATATTTTATATAAATACAACTTGGAGAGCTTGGATGAGGTGTTATTACTGCTGCTTGAGCTTATTCTTCAACTGTCAGTTTCCTCTGCAAATGATTTTGGCAACAGCTGATATTTCTTGCACCTTACGGAGAAATTGTTTTTATCTGCATTCTGCCTAAGCTGCTGATAATTAACTTTGTAAGTTGTTAATTGAAGCACCCATTCGTTAAGATATACATGAATCAACAGCTTGGTTGCAAAAATCTTAACAAACGTATTTATAATAAATATAAATATCATTAACAATACATCAAAAGAACTTTTACTTACCATGTTTTACCTTTTTTCTATCTCTTGGTGGTTCTTTTAGAGCTCGTATCAGTAAGGATGCTGCACTTGGGACAACTTCAATTTGAGCTTGTCTATTCTGAATAACCAATTTTACAGTAATTTTCAAGCCTTTCCAATCAGAAGTAGCTTTTGCAATATCATCACCTACTTTCTTTGGTGACTACATATATAAAATAAAACACTGATTTATAAATATTCATGCAATCACATTAAGTTATTATATGATCATTTCAAGAAACGAGAATTAAAAGGTACTTTCCATTAGCTGTGTATCAGAATATTTGACCCTGGTGGACTAGAACTAAACTTTTAATAAAGATGTAGAGGCATTAGGTTAATTGGAAAAGCCAGAGAGATGAAAAATGAGCAAACGCCTTCGCCGGGAATCGAACCATGGACCTCTGGAATATGCGCTCAGCGTGCAGACCACCACACCACAAAGGCGGGAGAAATACCTTATAAAGCATAAATAATTTCTTTTAAATGGATAGTTATAACTAAACTTAATTATCTTGAACATGTTAAACCGCTATCACGGCTACTATAGCTACACGGAGTAACACGTCGAAAGAAATATTTCTCAGAATCCCTATTTCACGAAATCTATGCAACCAGGTCACCATCTTCACTTGCTAAACAGATTCGAATGGCCACAGAGAAATTATTTATCACTCAGACTGGTTGGTAAAAGAGATGTTTGTTTTCAAATTTCGTGCTGCACTGCTTGCTTATAGAAGCATTTAAGTATTTTCTTTTTAACATTCTAAACTTGTTTGCTATTATGGCAGATAACAGAAAGGTGGCAGCCATTAAGCTAATAAAAAAAAAAAAAAAAAAAAAACTATACAGACAAAACATCCAAAGAGGTTTCATTTATTTATGGCAAAGAACTCGAGGGCTATATGTCTAAACATTTTACTTCTGCGATAAAATAATCACCTATCATCCACAACCTCAAACTATAGCTATCGTTTGATTGGTTGACATCTATATGGCACACAGCTGCATCCAATATATTTTGAAATATCCCGCCTAGCCAGGATCGAGCTTCCAGGGGAGCTGGTTCTTCTAGAAACCCTCGACTGGAACCTTTTAAACCAATGATATCGGAATTTAAATTTCTTAACCACCACTCCTAAGATATCTCGGAAATAGATGCCATCAACACTCTGCCATGCACGTGTTTTCTTAGCTGTAAGATGGGTCCAAGCAACTTTTGTGATTACCCTTTGTGATTCAAAGTGATTACCCTCCGGTAGTAATGGTCGTATTATTGTCCAGACTGTACCATATACTGTCAATGACATTTATAGATCATAAAATGTATTTACTTGATTTTTACTTTAGCTTTTATTACCTAGACTACAGCTCTGTATTACTTTTGGCTAGATTGTGTGCTTTTTTGGCTGCTTCATTGAAGACCAAGTTAATTTGGATAATATCATGAACCATAATAAATATACTTGTTTTTTCCTCAAAAACCTTACAAAGCTACACCTAGTGAGCTATATCTGCAGATAATAAAAATGGTATAAAGGAAATAAGGGATTTTTAAGCATAATTTTTAATATAAATTCAATCATTAAACGGTTAAAAAAGCTTGTCTAGCGTTGCTCACTGGTAGATGTGATAACCCCTTTGGTAATAATCTTTGAAAAGTTTACCTTTAATGTTCATAATGAGCTTATAACAACCTGCCTTTTTAAAAATCACTTTGCTTTTTAGAAAAACTACCTGTTTTTAAAAACACTAAGATGAGCTACACAGCTTGGCAACAGCCTACAAAGAGGCAAGTATCCAATATTTCTAAAAGAATGGAATCCTTCATGAAGAAAAACAAGATTCAAATGATCATTCCAAGAGGTTATGCACAAGTGATTCACCACCAAGATGGCTATGAAATTCACAATCATGCCGAGAAATGAAAGGAATGCAGACATAAACCTGGTTTGATGGATCACATATCCCTTTTCTCACTGCTTTACGATTTATGTATCCATGATGTCAAGAGAAAAGGCTGGCTGAATTTTCAAAATTTTAGCTTCAAATAAACAACAATACGACTGTTGGCTGGAACAGCTACACGATGCCTGGACAAAAGTGACAGAGGGATTCTGTGAAACATCAAAATAAATATCAGCATAGAACTTTAAGAAACCATTTAGAATCTTACTTAATTGAATTTATGTGGCAGTGTTTGTATGCTAAGACAAATTTATTTTCAGAAATTATAGGCACAATTTACAATCTAATGCCTGAGTAATTTTTTTTAATTCATTGCTATTTTTTCTATATGTTTTAATTTATTAGTGCAAATTAAATGTAACAAAAATTAAAGTCCACCAGGATCTAGTATCTAGCTATGGAAAAGTACCACAATTCTAATTAGTTTAATAGTCATAGTAAATATAAAGGAATGAATAACAAATTCTTATTTTAATCATTAATCATAATATCTAACGAACATTTTAATTAAATATTTGTATTGGATGGAAAATGGTTAAGTAATGTGATAATTTACCAAATTATTTGATACCTAATATGAATTAATGCATTGTTTAATGCATTACCGTATTTGACGGCATATAAGACGCACCCTTATTTAGAAGGGCACACACATGTAGATGTAGAAAAAGTTATGTGTGTCTAGACCTTTATCCGGGCTAAAAATAGCATTCAGCATTGACAGTTAACCTGTGCCCTTCACATATAAGACGTAGGTAACTTTTTTGAGACCAAATTTAGGAAAAAAAGTGCGTCTTATATGCTGTCAAATATGGTAATTCATAGAAATATACAATTCTTCAAAAACACCTTCATAGCACAGTTGCAATTCACTTTTGGAGGAATGGGAGAGATCAGAAAACTGACTTATCACAATATTTAACAATGACAGCAATCATATTAAGTGATGATTATCATTCATATCTGGTGCTTTGTGTTACAATGGTAATTATTTATCCCAATTTTAAACACAGAGCAAAAATTTTAGTAAGAAAAGTTAAAATTCTATTACTGTGAGATCACAGTTGTAACAAGTTTTGTAAAAATGTGATCTCACAGTACAGTCAAAAGTCGTTAATCCGGACTCGTCGGGACTTCGGCGATTCCGGATTATAGATCATCAGTTTAAATCTCGTAAGATGACATGCAGAAATTCTAAAATTAAAAATATGAAACCGTAATTTATGAAATAAAAAACAATTATGATCTAAAGGGTATCAAAATTAACAAAAAAAAAAAAAAAACTTAATATTTATTTGTTTACTTTATTAAAAATTTCATTCAATGTAAGTTGTTTAAGTTGCTTCATTTTATGTGATACTTTCTCTTTAATTATATAAACAGACATAATTTCTTGTTCAGTTACAAAGTTCCGCTGTTCAAGTCCCGTTAATTGCTGTGCCGAGAATACCGACTAACTTGTCAATCGGAATTTTTTTGTTTTTACTAACCTCTCTGTCACATTCTTCATGTCTTTATCCATTTTTTGCAGCAATTCCACTTTTTGTTTGTTGGACATCGAAACATACTTTTATTTTGTAGATCCTTTGGAAGTTCCAGCATCGGAAATTCTATTTGACATAATCGAAAGTTTAAGTTTACTTTTATAATTGCTCTTACAGTCTGCAAAAAATAATAAGTGGGATCCAATTCAAAGATTAAGGAACAACGCAATCATTAACATTAACTGAAATAGATAATTAGATAATTTTAGCTTATACCGTCCATTATACATTAAACGCACAGACGAAAACGTATTCTGCACTTGCGCACACGCATATGCGCAGTAGTCAAGGTCTTACGCGCAAGCGTAAAACGCTTGTGCGCATCTGCCAACGCGGCGCATGCGCAGAAAGTTTTTAGCTTTGAGGTCCGGATTATGGGTGTCCGAATTAACGACTTTTGACTGTAATAGAATTTTAACTTTTCTTACTAAAATTTTTGCTCTGTGTTTAAAATTGGGATAAATAATTACCATTTTAACAGAAAGCACCAGACTGAACATAATTTTTAAACACATAGCCTGCTCTTGTTTTGCTGATATCAGAATAAATTCAAATTCCAAAAAGATTAAAAGAACAAAATACATAACCTTTTACTAGCATTTTATGATCCCATCCTGCGCTCAACACAGTTGATAACCAAGGTGTGAAAGGTTACAGTTCTACAAAAGGAATTTGGTAATTTCTGATTATCCACACACTCATCGAAACATTGCATAAGACAATGTAATAGATCACCAAAAATGGTCACATGGCAACCCAAGTATGGAAGTAATTGTGGTTAGTCTATTGTTTAGGGTGCCCTTGGATTATCACCAAGTTGTTGTTTCACTCATGGTAACCTAACTAGTTTAATATTACGGAAACCCTTTTATGACGTGTTTTGTTGTGCGATTGTGGTGAATTTGACTGTGGGAAAACATTTGTAAGGGCTTATTTCTGCACTAGATGTCGGCTAGGAAGTATGTTGCTTATTTTGTACTGTACACCATAAAATGGCTGTATGTTACAAGATTAATCTCAAGTTTCTGTACGATTTGGAACGAAAGGGAAAAAAAGCATTAATTGACTGGTGTGTAAATTAAGGTTTACTTAGTAGTCATTATAAGCGTCCTGTTTGCACGATGGAAATGCCTATGGTCAAACGTAAACATCGTTAGATGGCTTTGTTGCAAGAAGTGCCACCAGCAGTCCGGCAATGCTAATTCAAAAAAATTACTGAGCTTGGTTTCAGCTTAACAACTAAAGAATTTAAAGCTAATTTGGTGTTTTTTAATTATCCCTTACTGCCGACAGACGTCGTTTCAAACTAGTCTGCAATATCATACAGACCTAAGATGAGTGTTGTTCATACTAGATTAATTCTTATCTTAAGGAGGTACACTGTTATGAAGAGGAGATGCAGACTTTTAATAAAATGATACTGTTCTGTTTAAAATTTTATCACTATATTTCTTATATATTTCAAATATTGATTTTGGTACTTTTAGATTTCGACGGCGCAAATGTCGCTGAGTATCCTAATTGGTGACAACACACATGAAAAAAATTTAACAAATGCTTATTCTAAGAATTTTTTTTTTAAGAGCAGGGTTTCTTAAACTGTGGGTCATGGAACCTGTAGCAGGGTGGTCGCCAAAAATTTTAGCAGCTT